TAAAGTTTTGTAATCTATTATGATTTTTGTATAACTCAAATAAAATTCAAGGTTTTCAACTTTCCACCTTTATACCATCACAAGCGTTAATTAAAGCTATGAGTCAAACATTTTCAGTAGCGACTAGTTTTATAACTTTCAACAAACCTAAATTTTATATAAGCGTTAATTAAAACTATGAGTCAAACATTTTCAGTAGCGACTAATTTTATAACTTTCAGCCAACCTAAATTTTAGAGTTTATATGTATAAAAGAGGCTTTTTGAATTTTATTTATATATAAAGTGATTTTTGAGATTTTTTACTTTAGATTTTATATATGAAATATTGAATTTTCAATTATATACATACACATATACATACACACTGGTGGTACCTATCAATCAATTTTTAAAATTCTCTTTAAACTTGTATTCACTTTTTTTTTTTTTTGGTTCTTTAACATTTAAAATCTCAATTAAAAACTGAATTATCTGAACCACCTAAAACAAATTAGAAAGAAAAATAGTTGTATTAGGCATAATATCTTTGGCTAGAAGAAAAACAAAAACAAAGTTTGACCCAAGAGATAAAAACAAATGCATAAGATAATCATAAAACCACAAGGCAAGCAAAGCCAAAATTTTCCCAAGCAAAAGTTTGACCAAAAGGACAAAGAAGGGCTCAATATATTTGGGTTTGGGAAAACAAATTTTTGGAGGGTAATTAACCTAGGATTCTATGAAAGTTTTAATCATCCCCATGTTATGTTTATATAATGTTTTAAAAGGGCAAAGGAAAAAAAATGTACTTTATTTCAATCACCAAAGCAAAAGTTGATTGCTTTGCTCTTCATGACATGGTTTCATTGTTGGAATATTGAAAAAGGAATCTCTCTTCTCCTCCTCCTCCTCCACTTCAAGAGAGAGAACACACACACAAACTCCCATCCACATGCATATAGATAAGAGTAAATCAAAGGTTTAAATCTCGGTTACAGCCCGTTTGTTTTATTTTGATCTCTAAATTTTTAAAATTCTTATTTTAGTCTTTAAATTTTTAGAATATCTATTTTAATTTCTTTTAGTACAACATGTAGGAGTGGGGATCGAATTCAACACCTCTTGATTTGAGATATATGTCAATTACCACTATACTCGCTTTGATAGAATATCTATTTTAGTTTTTGAACTTTTAAAAAATAACTATTTTAGTCCTTGTATATTGTTTCGCCGCCTAAGATCCACGTATCTAATATTTGCCTCCTATTTATGTGACTTTTTTTAGTACAATAAATTGGGAGTGTGTAAATTTGAATCTTCGACCTCGGAAGGAGGGATAAATGCCAATTATCGGTAAACTATACTCATGTTGGCTCCAATTTATATGATTTGAATACGTATTCATATTAACACATTAAAACACAGTAAATGTAAAGATCCAAAATAGAATAATGTTAAAGCGGAAGGACCCTAAACAGAACTTAAACAATAAATAATAAATATCAATCCCCAAACCCTAAATATAGTTAAAGAACAATTCAAACCCATAGTGTCTTAGTTTTTCCTCATTCCAATGTTGTTGTCTCTCTCCTATCTCTTTCTCTCTCTAGAGTACAAAGAGACAATATGTTGTTAAATCAATTTGAAAAGGGAGGCCAAATTGTTTAATAAAAGTTGTTTCACACGGATTAACTTGGAGAGTGTTTTGAGTTTTAAACTTAGCTTAAATTGAATTTAAAAGAAAGTTTGCATCTTTAATATATTTTAATAATAATATTGCAATTATGGAAATCTCTTAGTTGTTTAGCATTCAGATTTGTTGCCTTCATGGGATCTTGTTTTTTTGTTTGATGCTCTTTCTAGGTGGGTTTTTTTTTAGGATATATAAAATAATTTTTAATTTTTTTTTTTAAATGTAGGTTTTATAGAGAGATTGGTGACTTGTTTAAAGGGATGATATAAAAATGGCTACTTCCTCATGGTCCAAAAAATCGATCATTCTTTTGTAATTATGATATTTTCACCGTCTCTAAATTTGAGTACTTTTATCTAACTAGCCTCCTAATCTGTTTGTATATTTCTCACATACCTTTTGAATGAATGGTGTGTCGTTTTTAAAAAAAAAAATTTTTTACTCAATCCTAAATCTTAATCCTAACACCTCCTTTTAAATATAGAATATTATTTCAGGAAGATGTAAGATAAAAAAAAAATGTCTCACATATATATTCAATATGGTAATAGATTGTTGTAGGGACAATTTACGAGAGGCTTGACTGCCAAAGCGTAGTAATTGACATATTTCTCCAACCAAGAGGTTGTGAGTTCGATCCCCACCTCCACATTAAGAACCAAGTCCAGAACCACATATCAAATTTAAATTAATTTCAAACCATATAGGAACGGAAAAAGTGAAACTAATAAATACAACTCATAAGAACCAAATTCAAACAAATTGATAACATTTTTTTTAGTATAACAATGTAAGGAGGGAAGATTGAACTTTTTGACTTCTAGAGAAGAAGGTCAATATTTTAACGGTTGAACAATGCTCATGTTGGCAAATGAATTAGTAACTTAATGTCAAAGATAACTCTCAAACACATATCATATGAATTCCTATGTATTTCCCGACACCAAATATTGTAACGTCAAGCGATTGTCCGTTAAATTAATCATGGATCTACCTGTATGTAATTGCCAGTGTTAGCAATTTCTTAGTATCCAAATTCAACAAAAATAGAGACAGAAAATCATCAATAGATTAAAAACCTCACTAATGAAATCAAAACCTTAATAACGACGCAAACCCAAAAAGAAAAAATGTAAAATTATAATTGAAAATTATGATGCTCATTTTGTTCTCACAAGAACCAAATTTTGATCATTGGAATCTCTCGTCCATGAAAAAAAAAGAGGAAAATGATGAGAGAATTTTAAAAATTTTGTTTGAGAGATTCCCCAAATTTGACAATGAAAATGATTCAGAAGCCGCACGAGTCGTTTCATAGGATTCTCTTGTCTTCTGATCAGACACCAACTGATCACCCAAAACCCTAAAAATCCAAACAATTATTTTTTTATGCATAAAATCAAAACCCTCTGCTCTTCCTGTCCCCTTTTTCTTCTCTTTCAAACCCTAATTCATGTCTTTTTTTCCAACTTAACTTTACACTTTTTCTCTCTCTTTTTTTTTTCTTTTCTTTTTAACTTTATTCTCAGAAATATTGAGAAAACATCCTCCAATACTATGTTGTCCGCTTTAGACATAACCCTCGTATCTCTCCTTTTGGTTTTACTCAAAAGATCTTATATCAAAGGAGATAATTGTTCTTACTTATATACTCATGATCTTCTTTTACTTTTGAGTTTTTTCTTTTTCTTAGTTCCTAAAACTTTGAAAAATGAGAAGAAAAAGTTTTTTCATCTGTAATGTTCATATACTTAAAACTCGCCTCGACCAATCTATACAACTCTTATACGAGCTCAATATTAGCATATTCATACACATTCAAAGACGCGTTATCCAAAAGAGAGAAGTAACAGTAAAAATCAAACGATTATTTTTACAAGTTTAGATACTAAATAGACAAGTTAAAAGTCTAGAGAACAAAATATAACTCATTTTAGGACCAAAATGGGTACGATTTTGAAAGCTCAGAAGACCAAAATGAAATAATCTTAAAATTTCATGGACCGAAATGAAATTTAAACCTTGTATGTAATATAATCGTTAGAGATGCAAACATAATTCCACATCGGTTAAAAGTTAGGCAAATCTTAAGTAGTATACAAGTAAGGACAACATTTTTATTGGTATAAAGTCTTTTGAGTTGAAACTAAACCAACCAAGCGGGTTAAGTGGGTAGTATCGTCATTCGAGAACCCAAAATAAGATAAATTTAAAAGAAAAAATCTCACACCAAAGAAAGCACTTCTCAAAAGTAGGATGGTGTTGTATAAGAAACCTTTTCATGGAAGTCTTTTATATACTGCAGGTTCTTGAAGCACCAAGAACAAGAACAGTTTTTTTCTTTCTTTTTTAATTCACAACCTTGATCAGTGTGAAAGGGAAGATCTTTTAATCTCAAGGACCACATAAAATGATCCAATTTTCTTTTTGCATTTTGGATTAATTTGCATTAGATCAAATAAAAAAACCCAAAGGGTGTTAACTTCATCACAAAACATTCATTAAAAACAATTAAATTAATTAAAATTTGGTCCTTTAACTATACTATTTTTTTAATACAATAAATTAGAAATATGGAGGTTCAATTATCGCTGAGCTAAGTTCATGTTGACAATGATTTAGTACATTTTTAAAGTTTTATTGTAATGTAGACACATGAAAATAAACCGTGGTTGTTAGCTTCATCTATGTAAGTTGTTTTCTAATAAATTTAAATTTTAACTCAATGACTTAGATTGTTATAAGTC